CCTCAATTAGGAAAAATAGTACGTTCCAATCCCTCCTTCCTCTTTTCTACTTGAGTGTATTTCTTCTTTTGCCCTCCCTTCTCTTTCCCCTCTTAAAACCCTCAGAACAGATCTAATCCATTCCCAAGACCTTTGTTTTTCTTATTTAACTACCTCAATGCCCCTTAAAGACATTAAAGTTCTGAAGGGACACTTGTTTCTTCTCCCCAATTAAAATGTTAGCATTATATCATACTACATTTTTTTCTAGCTGCTCAAACAAATTCACCCTTCTAAGTTTCTCTGGACTCTTTGTGTTTGTATTTGAAAATTCCTACTTAGCTTCTGTCTTTTCATCAGAATTGCTTGAAAATCCTCTATTCCATTAAGATCCATTTTTTCCTTATAAAATTATATTCAGCTTTTCAGGGTAAGTTATTTTTGGTTGAAAGTCTATCACGTTTGACTTTTGAAATGTTGCATTCCAAGATTTCCTCTCATTGTTAGGAGAAGCAATCAGGTCTTGTGTGATCACATCTGAAGTTACTTGGTACTTGAAGTAATTCAGACATCTTCTGGATGTTTATAGAATTTTTCCTTGGATATGAGAGCTTTGGATTTTGGTTATGACGTTCCTAGGACTTTTCCTTTAAGGGTTACTTTCAGTATGTAATCTATAGATGCTGTCTGTCATCATTTTACCCTCTGGTTCCAAAAGAACTGGACAGTTTTAATTTAGGATATATTGAAATATAATGTCTAAGCTTTTTATTATGCTTTTCAATGATTATTAAATTATGTCTCCTTGATCTGTTTTACAAGTCAGTTTTATGTAAGGTATAGATAATTCTGTTTCTTTCCGATCTTTTGAAATCATTGATTTTTGTTTGGTCTGTTCTAGTTTTCAGGTATTCCATTTCTTGGAATTAGAGATTAGGCTTTATGAAAGTTCTAGGCTCTGTTCCCTGTTATTCTGTTGGGTGGGGTAGTCCATTCTACTTGGTCTTACCCTAGGTCACTTTGGTTTCTGTGAGGCCCCTTTGGACCTTTAAGATTCAGAGGGCTAAATCTTCAGGGCTCTTTCTGGATACTCATGGCAGAACATTAGGGATCTCCAGACCATTGGGTATGGGTTGTTCTTGTTGGAGTGCTCTGGCACTGTGCTGATCACTGCCCCTTTACCCTCTTTGAGGCTTCTAAGGTCCCTATTTTAGGATCTTCCGACCCTAGGACTTTCTCTGGGAACCCCTCCATTCTTGATGCCTCTGGGCACTGAGGTTCATAGGCTACATGTATGTCTGGCCTGTCTTTGGTCACACAGGGTATGCTAACATTGGCTTTGCTGCTGGCCCTTTTCCTGTTACCCTAAGGCTTCTGGTTGACTTTTTATGTAGTTATGACATAGAAAAACTCACCACAGTTTCTTATTGGATTTCTTGATCATTATTTGGTCTGATGTCAACTTCAGGGTTTTGCTGAAGTCAGTATATGGGAAACAGGCAGCTTGCCTCCTGTTGAGGCAGCCATCTTGGCTGGAAGTTCCAATTTGCTTGTCCCTTGTACTGTTTGCCTTACGTGGTTGTTGTGAAAATAGCACTTTATCCCTTAAAACAATAAACAATCATGACCTCTTGCCACTATAATTCAACTCATATTTACTAGGTACCTGTTGTATGCAAAGTAACGTGCTTGGTGCTGAGAATCTAAAAACAAAATGAGAAATAGTCCTTGTCTTCAAGAAGCTTAAATTCTGTGTGTGCGAGTGGTGGGAATATAATACCTAAACAGTTAAGTACATGCATTATAGTTGAGAAGGAATAGATCACTAATAATAAAAAGGATCAGGAAAGGCTTCCTGTAAGAAGTGGCACATCAGTTGAGCTTTGAAGTAAGCTAGGGATTCTAAGGAAGTAGGGAGGAGGACATGCACTCTCAATATGGGGGAGTAGAGGAATAGCCCATACAAAGGTGGGAAGCTCGGATGCCAAGTTTGGAAGTAGCAAGGGGGCCAGTCTGTCGAGGAAGAGGGTGGGGCTATCAGTAGAAAAAGAGAAGTGTGGAGGAGGGAGGGTTTGGAGGGGGAAGATAAAGATTTATATTTTGGGCATAGTAAATTTGAGATGCTTAAAGGGGATGTCCAATTCCTTGTGCAACAAGCAATTGGTGGTAAAGTGCTGGAACCCAAGAGAGAGATTAGAGCTAGTAATGTAGATCTGGAAGTTGTCGACATAGAAATGATCATTGAACCTGTTAGTTGATGAGAAAGGATGCAGAGAGAAAAGAGAAAAAGGGTCAGGATAGAGAAGTAGGACAATACTCATCACGGATGGTGATTCAGCAAAGGAGACAGAGGAGGAGACGGGTAGACAGGGATGAGGAGATAAGAGCGTGACAAAAGTCAGGAGAGGAGGAGAGAGCCCACAAGATGAAGGCTTGATCATCAAGGCCAAACGCTGCAGAGATCAAGAAGGATGAGAACTGAACAAAGGCCATTGGATATAGCAATTAAGGGGGAGATGAGGATGATTGTAGATGCAATCTTCCAATGGGGATTAGACAAGGGGACAAATGGAAAGGTTGGCCCTGACTAGGAAAAGGATCATGTCCCCATCTGACAGTGAAACAAAGGAGGAAAGAACATAGTATGATGTCAAGGAGTTTTAAAGTCTGGATTAGAAAAGAAGTATGTCATCATGGATGGCCTCTGTTTTCTGGATCAAGTAAGAGGTGAGGTCTGGCAGTGTAGGAGGTTGGATGAAATTCTTTAGTGACTTATTTTTGTAGCCTTCTATGATTCTAATAGTGGCATTCTTTTGCCTTTAGACAGGGGACTTAAAACTACTTTCAAGTCTACAGTACCTTAAGATCAATCCACAAACTTTTATTAAATGCCTACTATGTGCCAGCTACTGTGTTAAGTGCTAAGGATACAAATCAAGGTACAAAGGCAGTCTCTTCTCTCAAGGAGCTCTCAGTCTATGGGGGGAAGACAACAGCTATGTACAGTATGTACAGACAAGGTCTATACAGGCTAAACTAGAGATAACAAACAGAGGAAAGGAGTTGGCATTAAGGGGAGCTGACAAAGGCTTCTTGTAGCCTAGAAGATAGAAGACGTCAGGGAAACATGGAAGGTGTCTTCCAGTATTTGAAAGATTATACTTGGAGGCAGCTAGGTGGCGCAGTGGATAGAGCACCGGCCCCGGATTCAGGACGTACTCCCTGTGTGACGCTGGGCAAGTCATTTGACCCCATTGGCCAACAAAATAAATGAATGAATGAATGAATGAAAAGATTAGACTTAGCCCAAAGGAGCAATGGATGGAAGTTGCAAAGATAGGTTTGGAAGTCAGGAAAAACTTGCTAACGGTGAGAGCTGCCCCAAAGTAGAAAGGCCACCTTTGGGAGGAATAGGTTCTCTTCTGTCATAAGTCTTCAGACAAAAGCTGAACAGTCACTGGTTGGGTCCTCCAGACAGGGATCTCTGTTAGAGGCACGGAGGGCTTCCCTCTCCTCAGGCCAATGCTTCCTGGCACTGGCCAGCCTGACTAGCCCAGGCTTTTGTTTTCTTCTTTGGTTACTGTCTTCCCTTAAATCTCTTGTACCAATCCTTTTCCTACTTCTGTTTGACTGATGGGCTTCCCATGTATCTAAAGTGGTCTCTTTAGTTCCCCCCCCTTTTTTTTTCCACATGCTTTTGAGTTGAAAATTTTTCTCCCTTTTTCTCCCCCAGACGACGCAAAATCTGACATAGGCTTTACATTTACATACCCATTAAACATATTTTCACATTAGTGAAGTTGTAAGTGAAAATTAAAATGAATACGAGGAACCATCAGAAAGAGGAAACAAAACTCAACAGAAGGTAAAAATAAGCGAGAGCGATTCGACTTCCATAGTTCTTTCTTTGGATGTGGACAGCATTTTCCATCCCGAGGCCTCTGGAGATGTCTTAGATCCTCGTAATGCTGAGAAGGGTTCAGTTTAACATTCTTAGTCATTGCATAACGTGGCTGCTATTGTTACAATGTCCTCTGGGTTCTGCTCACTTCACTCAGCATCAGACCATACAAGTCTGCCCAGGTTTTTCTGAAGTCAGCCTGTTCATCATTTCTTATAACACAGTAGTATTCCATTACATTCATATACCACAACTTGCTCAGCCATTCCTCACTTGATGGGCATCCTCTCAATTTCCAATCCTTGGCCACCACAAAAAGAGCTGCTATGAATATTTTTGTACGTGTGGGGTCCTTTTCCCATTTGTCTGATCTCTGTGGGATACAGCCCTAGAAGTGCTGTTGCTGTTTAGTTCCCCTTTTTGTTCCTCATTAGAATCATTTTGTTTTGAGAGGCAAGATTTCATTCTGGAGAGCCTCCCAATCCACTTAACCTTAGGCCATGGGATCCTACTGATATTTTCTCTGAATTCTTTGACGTCTGTTTTCCTGTATATCCATTTCTAGAATTTCTCTCCTTATTGTTAATTCAAAGGTTTCAGAGGTTTTTGTTTATTATTTGTGTGTGTGTATCTCCTAATCTCTTCTTGTTTTTACAAAGAATATTTTTCCATTATTTTAGTGATGTGCTGCATCCTAATGACACCTGTTATCATTTCCCTCTTTATGCTGAGGAGGTCTATTTGGTCCCAGACAGTATAAGAATTTGTTTTACTTGACTATACATATTTATTGCAAGGGTTTTCTTTCCAATGTGTGTGATGAATTAGAGGGTAGAAGGGGTGAGCTGTAGCTGTCAAAGGAAAAGAAAGAAAAGAGAACCATTAGAGCATTATTTTGAAATGCACTGAAATGAGGTATAGAAATTTTACCATTGGGGGGGCGGTGAGGCCATCAGGGTTAAGTGACTTTCCCAGGGTCACACAGCTAGTAAGTGTCAAGTGTCTGAGGCCGGATTTGAACTCAGGTCCTCCTGACTCCAAGGCCGGTGCTCTATCCACTGCGCCATCTAGCCTGCCCCAAATTTTGCCATTATTTACCCTTTTCTCTTGTCTCTTACAGCTACACAGATGTTATTGATGTTGTCCAGGCACTCCAGACTCACCCTGACTCAGATGTGAAGTCTACTTTTGAAATTGGCACGATCACTACATGCGTGGAGCCCCTGAGCTGCTACATGGAGCACAGGTAGTTTTCAGCCACCAGAACTTAAGGAGTTGGGTGGGAGGGAGTTGTTCTTTTCAGAAGGCATCACCTCTTTAAAGACACTTGTTTGATTTTGCTTCTTGGAGGGAATTCATTATTTTTCCTTACTATATGGTAGGTGTTCAGTAAATTCTCATTAATGTGTTGATTATCCCAGGGACCTTAAAAGTCCTTCTCTAGGCGACAAGAGGATCCCTGAGCTTTAGAACCAGAAGAGATTTCTAAAGTCATTTAGTTCAACCAATCCTCTGTGTTGCCCAGGAATACGCCCTGAAAAATTTCAGTGTTTCTAGGGACAGACAATTCCATTCCAGTGTTGGATAACTTTTATTGTTAGGAAGTTTTGGAAAATAGTTTTTGCTCTCTAGTCTTAGTTTTGTTTTCTGGAGCTACACACAGTAAGTCTAATCTGTCTTGCAGATAAAGATCATGCAAGTATTCTGGTCGTGCTTCTGTGGCTACCGAAAAGTAATTTCATACAGCAAGTGGCATGAAATGAATTTTCTTAGAAAGCATGGTCCCTTTAGCATCTTCTTCTTTGTCTGTTGTACACACATCTTACCTAGAAAAATGGTCTGGTATGCAGATGACCTTGGACTTTTGGTCACGTTGAGAGGGGACAGGTCTCTAAGTGAGGTTTTCTCAGCATCAGGCTTACCCCGAGGGCTCTGTGCTTTCCTTTTCGAGAGCCTAAACATACTTAGACGTATGGGGATGGACCCTACTGCTTTTAGAAATCTTGGCCTTCTAGTCCAGTGGGAAGAGCTCTGGATTTGGAGTCAGAAGAGCTTGGAAATCCCTTTCAACACTAACTCTCTAATCCTAGGAATAGATGTAATTGGGGACAATGACAACATGACTTGGAGAAAAGTATTAAGAGTTAAAATGTTAGGGATCTTACTTATTGGACCTAACTGCCACGGGGAACCTTTAGGGGAGTGACCAGGGTATATTGTTGACCTTGATTCCAGCCAAAGCTCAGGACAAAGGCACAAAATCAGTAAATCTCACACTTGAAAGATTAAAAAACAAAACAAAACAAAACTACTAAACTACATTGATAGTGTAGATGCCACTCGTACCAACTGTGCTAGAAGTCCTAAATATCATGTCTTTGTCTCTCTATTTTTTCTGCTCTTCAGCCTGAGATGTAAACTCTGCTTTCTTCCTTAAATATCCTGGATATTTTGTTCTTCTTCTTGCTTTTTTTTCTCTTTTGCTCTACTTATTTTAATGGACTGTGATGCCATAACACCACACCACAACACACACACACACACACACACACACACATCTCTCTCTCTCTCTCTCTCTCTCTCTCTCTCTCTCTCTCTCTCTCTCTCTTTCTTTCTCTCTTGTGCTCTTTCTGCCCTGTTCCCCAGTTTCCTGTTTCTCTCTTTATGCCCAAGTTGAGGCACAAAGTAAGTGCTCATTTCTAGTAAATATTAATTTTCCCCAAAGTTTTCTAGAACTAGATAAGGAATTTTGTCCCTCCTTGGTCCTAAAAGGCCCTAAAATTCCCAAAATAGTCCTTTAATTGTGTTATCCATTGCTTAGGAACCTTCATTGTCTACCCAGGATCAAATTCATATTCCCCCAGCTCTACAAAAATCCAGCCAACTCCTCTTGTCTTGACAAAGGGTTCTCTAATTTGAACATTCCTGCCTCCGCACTTTTGCTTATATTATTCCCCCTCCAGGAAATGCCCTTCCCTCTTCTTTGCCAGTATAAATTCTAACTATCTGTCAAGGCCTCGCCTAAGCCATCTCCCAAGCCTTTCCTGACTGCCCAGCCCTCATTTATCTCTACCCAAAAGTCCATTTAAGCATTGTGTCTAACTGAGAATGTACTTCCTGTGATTTTTGTCCACCAAAGAAAAAATAATTGAGTTGTATTGTGGGCTCTCTGGATAGTAAGATTGCCAGCTCTTGGTCTCAAGGAGTTTTGTGGTCCCTTAGGCACTTCTTCTAGCATCAGTTCAATTCAAAATTTGTCCACTTCTTCTGTGTATAGTGCCCTGTGCTAGGGTTACTGTTTTAGAGATGAAAAAAGAGTCACAAAATGTTAGAGTTGTGAAGGACTTTAAGGCTTATTGAATCCAAGCTCTTCCTACCAAGTGATCCCCTTTGCAATATCCCCAACAGATACTCATGTGTTCTCTGCTTGGAGACCTGCAGGGATGGAGGTCTTACTACTTCAAAGGCAGCCCAGTCTACTTGTTAGGAAGGTATTCTTAAAGGGAGCCAAAATCTGTCTCTCTATAACGTCTATCTGGTTCTCCGAGTGTGGTCCCCTGGGGCCAAGCAGATCAAGCCCTATCCTTCTTGTCAGGAAAGTTTCTAGCTTGTCAAGAGGCATTTCTAAAATGGTATATCTAAAACAGAACAGCCTGCTTGCTTCAGATGTGTTCTGGCATCGCGCAGTGGACCTCTGTGGGGCCACCTGAAAACAGTGGCAGGGTTCTTGGCTTCCATGTCTCTCTGTCATAGTATGTTGAGCCCATGGTTCATTTGTGTGTGTGTGTGTGTGTGTGTGTGTGTGTGTGTGTGTGTGTGTGTGTGTGTGTGTATATATGCAGGCACACGCATAAAAAACCATATACATACACACAATATGTGTTATATGTATGTATATTGCATATGATGTGTGTTATGTCTACACACATATATGTAATGTACATGCCGTTTGCCCTGTTTGAATACTAGCTCAAGAGACTTTTGTCTCTGCATCCTCAATGATTAGTATAATACCTTTCACATAGCAGCAGATGCTTAATAAATGCTTGTTGATTGGATTAATTGATTGATAAATATGTCCTATTAGATTTGTCCCACCATTTTAACTTATCAAAATCTTTTTGGATCTTCAAAGGCCATCAACAAGTGTTCTGGGTGCTAGGCACTAGCAATAGAAATACGAAGACTGAAATGATCCCTACTTACAATGAACTTACATTCTAATGGCTGAAGGAGGGGAACAAATGTACCTTGTTTGATTTGTCCTTATATGACATTTGTTACTACATGACTGACCTGCCTTTTTTTCTGGTCATGCATCATTTGATGCTTCTCCTATAAAATTCTTTCTTAGTGTTAGACTATAACCTAATAACTGTATTAGGGTATGTATTATTATATTATATATTATGTATTATGTTATATAATGTGTATGTATATATATGTGTGTGTGTGTGTATATATACATATATATATATATATATATATATACACATATATATGTATATGTATATATCTATCAGCTAGATGGCTCACTGGGCTGGGAACTCATTCTAGCTTGTTGAGGTCTTTTTTGTATCTTCGTACAATCAATAAACAAACATTTATTTACTGTTCACTATTTGCCAAGCATTATGTTAACTGTTAGGGATACAAAGGCAAACAAACGTTCCCTGTCCCAAAAGAGCTTGCCTTCTACTTGAAGTGCATCTTAGAAGAGGCCAGAGAAACTAAGAGGCCAAAGTGGAAGAGGGAAGGCCTTCTGGGCCTGGAGAACAGCCCAGGACTGTGATATGGAAACAGGAGATGGAGCATCAAGTGTGAGGCCCAGCAGGGAAGCCAGGATGACTAGATTTAGGAAGTTCTTGGAAAGGAATAATGAGGAAGAGGACTGGAAAGATGGGCCGGGGCCGGTAAAGAGCTTTAAATGTCCAACAGGACCCAAGAGGATTTATTGAAAGGGGTGTGTAGCATGTGAAATGGTCCTGGGTACACTTTAGGAAAATCACTGTGGCAGCTGAAGCAGGATGGATTGCAGGGAAGACAGGCTGGAGGTGGGGACACTGTTGTTGCCAAGCCCTTATCTCTCTTAGCTCAATCATCTAAAAATGATAAAGTGCCTTGCTTCAAGGAGTTTACAATTTAGCAACAGAATAACACATATGTAGTACAAATTAAGAGGTGATACCTAAATAGAAGAGGTCAAATAGGGAACTGGAAAGATTTGAGAGGGGAGGGACCATTTCTAGCTGAAAAGATCCTTGGAATTAGTGGCACCTGAGCTCCAGTCTTGAGGGAAGAGGATTTCAGCAGGGAAAGATGTACATGCCATTTGTGCCGAGCCCCCCAGCAGGTCCTGATCACGTTTGTCAGATCTGTGCCTGCTAATTGGTTTTGTGCTGGAGGTGGTTTGATGAGCAGTGAATGGAACAGTTCCTGGCCTTTCCCTAGGGGGAAAAGATATTCCTCCTATACTAAGCGCCATAAAGTAGTCCGTGGACAATAAGCCCAGCAGACACTAAGAATTACATGTGCCATGGAACTATACCATGAATAAAAGCCCTGTCCAGAAGCTGCCAAGGGTCTTTTCAGTGCAGGGTTTGAGAGTCCCAAGTAATAGCTAGCAACACTTTCAGGTTTGCAAAGCACTTTACAAATATTACCTCATTTTATTCTCATAACAAGCCTGGAAGGAAGATGCTGCTATTATCCCTATTTGAGGGGATAATAGTAGCTGAGGGATGTTAAGTAAACTGCCCAGGGTCACACAGATGATGAGTGTCCTAGGCTGGATTTGAACTCTGATTTCTCTGCCTCCAAGCTGTCTGGCTGCCTCTAGCCCTCTGTGACTGCCAAGGAACATGCCTGTGCTACAGAGGCAGTGAGAGAGGAGGAGGAGAATGAGTTTACCCAATGGGTGGGACCAGGACATTCCTGAGGAAACAGGGCTGGCTTGGTGAGTTCTTCCTTCTCTGGAGCTGGGATACCAGGAAGCTAGGGGAAGCCCCTGGCTGGCTGGCCTAGACAGAGCCTTGCAAGGCTGGAGGAAGTGCCAAGAGGCCCCAGGCTGAGGGCAGAGGTCTGCATGTTTGTCTCTTGCGGAATGTATTGTCTCTTCAACTATTGAGAAATACAAGCTGCTAATCACAGAAGTTCTCGGTTCTTGGAGGAGGAAAGAGTTCCATTTCAGAGGAAATATAGTGGAAATAATACAGAGAACAGCTTCATTTGGTAATACTGTGTCCA